GAGAGGGAAGCCAGTCCAGGAATTTTGGATACAAAAGACCCAGTTGCCTTATCCTCCGGGCTGCTGTGAGTCTGTTTACTGGCCCTCTCACACCTTGCAGAGTATCTGTTTTCTGCCTTCAAGAAATGTTCACTTTTGCTGCCTTTTCTGTGTGTCTTGTCCAATTCTTCGTTCAGGACACCAAAAACCTGGAATGATTCCCCCCCTGGACCTGTCATCTAGTAACACTATTATTTTAGCTCAATTAGTTTGCTGATTGTGGAGTAGTTAGTAAAATCTATTGATTTCATGGTAGATTATAATTGTCTTACAGGATTTCTAGCATTGTTAGCATTGTGCCTTTGCTTTAAAAAATAATGTCTGTAGTGAGGGGAATAACAGTCTTTTGTTTTGCTTGAACCTAGCTATACACACACACACACACACACACACACACACACACACACACGATACATGTAGAAGGAAAAGTGCACAATTTCAGATTTCAAGTACAGGGACATTCTAAAGTCTAAGTTTCTTTATGAGAGGTAAGATGTGTTTAACAAAACAAACCCTGAACATCTTCATTAATCAAACCAAGTGTGGCTGCTTGTGTTTGCAGCTGCACGACAAAAGTACTTCAGCCTCCAACTTCTTTTTATCTTAGCCCAGTTGGAGGTAGATGAAGCAGACTTCAGGCAAGGCTGTAAATCCTGTGAAATTTGTCTTTACCTTCATTTTCCACCTTTTTCCTCCTCCATATCTCCCCTCCTTGTCTTTTTATTCTTCTCATGCTTTCTGATCCCCAAATAGGAAAGGAGCTGAAAATGGCCCCTTTATACCTATTGATTTACTGATTACCCTGCCACTGAAATGCCTTTCCCACTGAAGCATTACCTCAACCAGGCTTTTATCTCTTTTATTTCTGATTGTACCAGAATCATATTACTTGTTTTAAAACCTTTGTTTCCTCTGCAAGATGGTGAGGAGATTGCTTTCGGAGAGTGAGCTAGAAAGAAGGTCTGGGGATCTTCTGAAATCATTGTTGCCTTACTGAAGCAAATTTGATTTGGACCTGGTGGTGTTTTGAGTTGTTCAAACATATGGTGGATATACTGTGCCTATAAAAGAAACATTTTACTGGTACTTCTTGACTTAGCTACTTTTCATATTACCAAGACAAAATACCCCGTACTCAAGTTAAAGAAGGAAAGGTATGTTTTAGTTCTCAATTTGTGGAAGTTTCAGTCCATAGTCAGCTGGCCCCAAGGCGGGATGGCATGGCAGAAGGGAATGGCAGAGGAGAAGCCATCCACTGGAGGGCAGCAGGAAGCACCAACAGCAGCAGGGAGCCTACTTTCCCTTTTTTTACCATCCAGGCTGCAAATCTGTTGGTGCCACACACACTCAGGGTGGGGCTTCTGTTTTCAGTAAAGACATTCAGCCACACCTAGAACTATGCTAATTCCAACCAGTAGGTGTCGGATTAATAATCCCTTTTTGTCCAGGGTGAACAGGTCCCGAGAATGAGGTACCCGCAGATGAATAGAAAAGTAAGAGAAACAAGAAAAACAGGAGAGGCATAATTCTGGGATCAGAGGGCTTACAGCCTCTTGGACTGCAGTCTAGATTATCATTTTCCTGTAACCTTTTATTGAGAAAGAACAAAGGAGGCAGCAGAGGAATGGGAGGATATCAACTTAGCAAAGTCAATACAACTCAATTATCATAGGAATGAGACTTAACTAGTTAGCCATCATGTTATCTTCCTTACAGCATATCTCAGCAAAGCATCTAGTGTTGTCCCAGGGCTTTCCACAAGGACCCAGGTGCTACAAACTTTTCCTCACCACCAATGCTTTTGCTAGACTTCCTCTAGAACCCAACAGTCATGGCTTGGTCAGACCTGAGGCAATACCTTGAAAGAGTAACTAAAGAATGTCCTTCTCCACAAGTAGGCTCATTCAGTACCACACACTCTTAATCTCAGTATCATACACCCTTGATCCAATAAACTCTGAAAAGCACTACCTAGGAGTGCATGAGGTTTTGGGGGGACATCTAGATATAAGTTGTAATGCTTGTTAAAAATGGCCAGGAAGAATTTATTCCAGATTGTTTCAATAGGGGTGGGAGCTATTTCCTTCGGGGAGAGAGATTATACTTGACTCCACTGAAACAAAATGTAGGAGGATTTTTAAAAATCAGGGTGAGCTAATGGGAAAGTACTAGAGGACATTAAAGGTGACAGTGGTCAGGGTGATTAGGTCATCACACAGTGTGCTTGCTAATCGATGCTTAAGTGGGTTAACCTTCTACCCTCTCACAGAGACTGACACGAAAGCCCTATCATTCTTGATTAAATTTCAAATAGATGGCTCCAAGGTTCTTGAGAAAATCATTCATCATTAGTAAAACTAAGAGACTTGGTAAGAGGCTTGAATGAGATTTAAGTCTCAAAGGGATAAAAAATTAAAAAGAACTGGCAAACTTTATTTCTTCTTTTTAATATATTTTCTCAACAAAAGGAAGTCAGTCTGGGGTCTAGGGCCTAAGAAAAGGGAAATCAGGGATCTAGGGTCAAGAAGAAACCGCCTACAGCTCACTTCCCTCAACACTTACCTCTTTACTGTGCTCACCTTCAGGCACTTCACTGTGCTGAAGAACCTTGTGAAAGTTTGTAGCTTTTCCTGATTTGATTAACATTGACCAGATGCCCCTGCATTGTTAGTGTCTTCTGCATGCCTTTCCCCACCTCAGATATGCCTGTTAATCATTTGCTTTCTCCTGTATTTTAATCTACTCCCGGCTATCTCTTCCACACGCCCTGTGGCTTGGAGTTGCATACGTTATGTTCTTGGTTATCTGACACTGTTTTCACTTGTGTGCAATGTTTTTCCAATTGTGGCCCTCCTACCTGATGTCCTCAAGGATATCTCTGAGCCTGATATTATTTATAACTATAGTTAGAAAGTTTTGCCTAAAATCAATATGGCATTCTCGTCATTAATAGAGGTGTTCTCAAACCAGGCAGTAATATGAACAGTCACAAGACAAAGGTAAAGAACAGATTTAGCCCAAAGATGCCATCTAAGACTGAGAAGAATCAGCCATCTGTGTTGTACCTGGGCAAACCTCAAGCCCTGCCCAGCGTATCCTGCATAGGCTTGTCAGTGCAAGAGAATGACACTGATTTTTCATAATACAAAATCCCTTGCCCACTAAGAAAATCTGCTCCCTACTAACTGATTTTAATCTTTACTAGGATTTCTCTTCTCATTCCCACCAAGAGAGTTCATAGAACATGATTTAGAGAACCACATTTCCAAATGCCCAGTCAAATAGCATAGAGTAAGCATAGCTGGCAAGGGTGAGCTTTATTGGGACAGTTCAAGATAACCATTGGCTCCAGTGATTACACGTTGCAGTTCGCACTCAGACAGTTCCAGTTGACACCTGCTTTTGGAGCAGTCATTAATGGCATGGCTTTTTACCCTCAAATGGGCCACAATTTAGATAATAAATTGTAAGGTCACTGTAGCTTTGTCCATTACTCTAAGTTTTGAGCTTTTCCCAGGGTCATCTACCAGTGTGTAGAAAAATATGTATCTTTATTCTGCTCAACTTTCAGATATGCAATTAAATCTTATGTGTGTGTGCATGCATGCGTGTGCACACACACACACACACACACATACCTCACTATATCTAAGAAGAAGAAAACATAGTTCTCAGAGTAACTACCATTTAAACATAATTCAAAGAGAAAAAATCATTTATGAAATGCAGTGAATGAAACATGATATGCTAATATTCCTGCCCAGAACACAGCACTCTACATTGTGATACTAATCATGTGTTATTCTCCAGTGGGGCCCACTGCCTTGTAGGTTTAAAAGCAGAGATGTGGTAGGGACATTGAATTTATAGCAAAATTGCCTAGTGCTTTAAAAATATAACTTGCCCCCACACTTAACAGATCACATTTTTAAGCAAGGTGTCCTTTGTCACTTGTCTATGTAAGCAAAGGGTAACTGATACAATGATATATTGTTTTTCTTCCTTGTTCTAGAAGAACTCCCAAAGGCGAGTGAAGGTTAGATAGTGATAGAAGAGGGTGATTTTTCTATTTAAAGGTAGGCGTTGGTATTCAGATTTCTCAAAGGAAGAAATTGAAGTTTCAAGCAATTATGTAAATTATGCAAGAGCACAGCTAATAAAAGGAGAGGGTTTTAGGAGCTCAAACCCAGAGTGACTTAGCCCCATACGCCGTGCCCTGAGTCAGTCTCCCACGCTGTCTGCAGGCTCTGTTATGATTTGTGCAGAGTGTGTCTTCTCTATGGGGAGAGGGGAATTTCCTGTGTGTAGCATACACATTTTTAGCAAATAGTAAATAGTGAATGATTGCAACTGTGTGAGAGGCAGTGGGAATAAGCATGAGGGCTAGAGTGAAATCTGGAAGGCAAGGTCAAGGTTGGTGGCCAGTGGCCATGGGTGACACTGTGCATGAGGAGTTTCTAGACTGTCATGGAGCCAGAGAAGACTGATTGGCCCAATACAACGAGGCATAGAGCTTCAAGAGTAAGGTTGGTGGAGGCACAGTTTGACAGTTGATTTTAGTTTTGCTGCTCCTAAGGCCAGAGAGACAGTTCTGGGTAGTGACCAAGAAACGAGCTTTGAATTCAGTTAACCCTTAGGTACAGAAGTAGCTACTTTAAATTGAGGATTTCATCTCATCTCCACAAAACTTTTATGAGGAACACACCGTTACTCTCATTTTTTTTTTTTTTTTTTTTTGATTTAGGCACCTGAGACCTTGGAATGAAATAACTTGAGCATGGTCGTGCACAATAAGCGATTTCCTCTTGGAGTTTGTCTCACCTGAGAGAATGAGCTCCTGGTTGCCCCTGTCCTTTTGGGCAGGTTTATGAAAGTGCTGTTACCACCGAGGCAAGAAATTACCACCAGCCCCCCTTCTCTCACACTCAGCATCAATAACAGGGTCTCCTATTTCTCCAAAGGTGTGAAGAGAAACGTCATTTCTATCAACAGCAAGCATTTACAGAATATCTACCAGGGCCAGAAACTACTGCAAATGCTTTGGATATATGTGTTAATTGCATTCTTCAAACAATCCTCTGACACAGGTAGTATGCTTCTTCCTCTTTGTACAGATGAAGAAGTTGAAGGATAGAAGAGTTAAGTAACTTGACAAAGATTACCCAGAAAATAAGAAGCAGAGCTGGGAACTGAGTCCAAGGATTCTGGTGCTAGGTTCTGTGTTTTCAGCTACTACGCAAGCATTTATGTCGCCTACGGATGGTACCTTCCATGTTAGTTTCACTCAGAATCACTGACGCCTGATGTGCCACTTATTCTGAAGAATGTTCTCACAAGGATGCTAGGCGTGTCACTGGGTTTATAGTAATAATAGCTAGTATTCAGTGAGCTCTGTCTGCATGGCAGACACAATGTTAAGAGCGTTACCCACCTTATCTTATGTAAGTTTCTCAACATTACGGTAGAGTGAGTTTATTCTTCTTTTGCAGATGAGAAAACTGAAGCTATGTGTAAGTAATTTGTTCAAAATCACACAGTTAGTAACAGCTGCATAAAAGACAGCTTCTGTTTGATTTTATTTGGCAAACACTGTTACCCTGCAGCCTCACGCCAGAGGTTATTTTGGGTTCTGATCCCTTACTTTTGCCGATGGTGACCGTTTTACCCTGCCTCAGGGGGTTGTGTTGCTATATATGCTCACTTCATTTTCAGGAACCCAAGATGAATGAACAAAAGAACAAACGCACACCAGGGCATCATATCAGGAAATAAATTGATGCCATTTGACCACTATCTATTTATGACTATATTCTACACTATGTATTGTGATTTTTCATTCGTTTAAAACTACACTTTGATACACTCTGCCTGGATACTTACAGCACTGGCCAAAATTAACAGTAAAAGCTTAAATGATGTTTAGGAGATGCTATTTGTTTTCTTAGAAATATTTACATTAGAAATATTTTCAAAATAGGGGTCTATATAGTATGCATCCTATGGTTAAATGTACACACATATAAACAAAGCAGAGATAGCTGACTTTCTAGATTATTATTAAAGACACACACAAATATTGTGTATAAGTTTAGAACTCTAAGGAAACTGAGAGATTAACTGGCTCAGAAAGGGAGACTAAACGGGGTGAACCACTCGTGTGGCCAGTCAAGATTTCAGACATCTTATAATCTTCATATTCTGTCGTAGATATGTCCTGAGTTCTTTGTCATCTCTTTTCTTATGCCTGCCTCTTGCAGGAGGGAACTGACTTCTCTTTCTTTTTCATAGTACAGTCTGTGGTTATTTTCATCAGTAGATTGTTAATCACAGATTTAATGCATGCTCAGTGAAAATATTGGTAGTGTACCTCACAGAATTAGAGAAAGCAATCCTAAAATTTACTTGGAACCAGAAGAGACTTAGAATAACAACAACAACAACCAAAAATTCTGGGCAATAAAAGCAAGTCAGAAAGCATCGCCATACCTGACTTTAAATCATGCCACAAAGTTATTGTGATTAAAAACAGCGTGGTATTGGTAAACAAACAGACCCGGGGATCAATGGGGCAGATTAGAAGATCCAGAAACAACTCCAAGTTTATCTTCGACAAAGGGGCCAGACAACTTCACTGGAAGAAAGATAACGTCTTTAATAAATGGTGCTCATTCTTGAATAGTACTGGTTCCCTCTGTTTGCTATCTCACTGGCTTCAACAAAACACCCCATATGTAGAAAACCTCTTAGTATATAGAAGAATATGGACTTAACGAATCTGCCAAGCGATGTAGAGAAAATAGAATCTCACTATTCTTTTGGGGAATAATCACTTTCTAAAGTTAAATGACTTTACCCCTACAACATTGTAAGTAGCATACCATGTAAGAAATTCTAGAATGGAAAAGAAACTGAGGTGCTTTTGATTTTGTAGGTGAGAAATTGAAGTCTAAGTAAGTAAAGTTAACTCTTGAAGAATTGTCCTGATCAGCTTAGGACCAAGAGCAAGATCATTGTAACTCAGACTCCAGTGCTGCATTGCTTTTCTGCTGAGCAGACTTCCCTTGATCACCTTGGAATTTCTTCTATGGCATACACATGCTTTTAGCTCATGTCACAATTTTTTTTACTACATTATATTAAATACTCTACTATCATATTTGACCAAATTCCTTACTTTATAGATAAATTATAGCATTAGAGATCTTAATTGATTTGCCATAGATTAAGTAGAAAAGATTAATTTGTAGTAGTGCTAAATACAGAAGTAAGAACTTCTAAGCTCACCCTGATCAAAGATGCGTTGAACGCATCTCTGAGGATGAAACTTTACTTAACTCTTCATTAGAACAAGTCCAGCACACATGCAGATTTCCACAAAGTAGAAAAATCAGATGTTTTTATAGCTTGTTTTATTCTTAAAGAGAAAAGAACAAAAACAAATAAACAAACACAAAGACATAAACAAAACAGCATAAAACAATAAAAACAATACAAAATTTCAGACCAAGTGATAGGAAATTAACAGTGGTTGTTGTATTACATATTGTTATCTTGAAACTGGTTACTCAGATAAATAAATATAGGCATGTAAGACTGATCAAACAGTTGAGCATTAACTATTCCTTTCCATAAAGCAATAGAAATTATTGGTACAATTATCTTAGCTATCATATACATATATCATATATATGGTAGTTTCCCTTCTTTCTTTTCTCTTTTAAGTCAGTCTAAGCATGGCCTGAAAAAATTATTCAATTAAATTTTCAACCTTCTCTGAACCCTTATGCAAACCATCTATTCATCAAGCATAGTGATTTTTTTTATCATGAATTTCAAACTGGACCATATGCTTGGGTATAGGGACAAAAATCATACATTTGTTCCTCAGTATCTAGTAGGAGGAAACAGAGACATAAAAAGTAATGTTGGGCTACTAAAACAGCTCAGTGGTAGAGTGCTTGCCTCATGTATCCAAAGCACTATGTTTGATCCATAGCAACATGAACACACAATAAATATAGAAAACCATAGAGGTGTAACGGAAGTAAGTAAGAAAGTTTCACTCAGGGATGGAGTGGTTTGGTTTACCAGATGTGACTAATTTACAGTTTCTTAGAGTAGATGATGTGACAAGATGCTCTGAGTCTTGAAAAGCTGGGCAGGTCTTTCCTGGGTTAAAAGGGGACGTACATTCAAGAGAAGAGTGAGTAATGGTGCAGAGATATGAAAGTGTGGTATGTATATGATTCAGAACATAGTTTATATGATTTAAGTGTAGGCTGCAAATGTGAGCTTAGGAAAGTGAAGCTAAGTCAGAGGTTGGCTGATGGAAGGATGTTTCTAGTATGCATAGAATTTGAACTTATTCTGTGAAAAATGAAGAGCCAAAAAAATGGCTCTATGCTGTGGACTTGCTGTTAGAAAGATCAGCCCTGGTAAGATGCATTTGTATGTGTGCAGGAAATCAAGCTAGTGAATAGGGAGACCAGTCAGGGGCCCATGGCTCTGCAAGGAAAATATGTTAATGATGTAGGAAGTGGGAGACAGAGTGGGTGTTGTAGGAAGAGATTCATAAGGTTTGGTCTGAAAGAAGCACAACTTCCTCTTGCTCCTGTTCTGTATATCTCTAGACCTACCTTCAAGGGAGAATGGAAAGTGCACTCTGGGAGACTAGGCGCTTAGTGAATGTGGGCAGTGCATAGAAAGGCACTCTCTTTTCAGGCTGGAACTTGACCATGGACGATTTGATTTCAGAATCCTCAACCAAACCATGGTGACCTATTGCCTGTTGGACTAGATCCGCTCCACAGAATTGACAGCAGTCAAGCTGCCACGAAGAGAAATGTGAGGATGGGTTGACTCTGTGGTGAACCTTACAACATGCAATAAAGATTGTCGATTCCAAAGGGGTCCCAGACTTAAGGCGTTTGAGACCTATGGAATTCATCAATACCGGCAAATATTAAAAGCAACAATAAAATTGAAAAAGAAAGTAAAAAGATACACGTGTCTGAAATATAAAGCTTATAAACTCCCAATTTTACATTAAGTTCAGTGACTTAGTGAAGTTAATTTGTGTTACTTTGGAGAGAGTGAAAAATGTGTTATACTGTCACTTTCATTTTCCCATAGATCTAATAAATTGTTCTCATGATGAGGAAACTTAATAATTTCATAAATCTATAACTTTTGAGTTGGATGAAAATGTAGTTAAATTACTTCTAAATATGGCCTGATTTGTTCATATTGCATATAAAAGAGGAAGACCTACAGACCTAAATTACTTACCCACACCTCACTCTTCAGGGACAAAGGACTGCGTGCTAGAGACCAAACCCCTTGACTTACTTTTCAGTTTCTATTCATTGTGTGATTTCCCTTATGAAGCAATCACACTACACTGTATTTCTTCCTAGAAACTCTTACAGGTTTATTATTAAGAAAAAGACAATATGAATCTTACAGTGTTGGAGAATTGCAGATATTCTAATTATTGTACAATTTAGAGTTAAACCAAAAATCTATTTATACCCTTGCTATTTACAAAATTATGTATATAGTATATATATACAAATTATATATATATGTGAAATTAACATATATACTTTGTATATGACCATTTCCCTTTGATTGTAATTTTAGTTGGCTTTAGGGTCATCATTTGCAATATAAATTTGCATTATATGGTAAATGTAGAAAGTGTGACTGTTGGATTGAGAACTTCCTGGCTATTGGATTGAAGGTGAGAATCTATTTCTCGGAAAATATTAATTCTGGGTGCTAAGTTGCTTGGGTTCGCTATAACATTTTAATAAAAGAATTTGTCTTGGCAGTACATTGCAGGGTCATGAAACAAAGACATCACCAGGTGACCCCAGGGAAAAAGGAATCCCTGAAATCCATTCTATAAAATATTGATGAAAATCCCACTGGTGGAGAGTTGGCTTTTGCTAATAGACACCATACTGTTAAATGGAAATTTTAGGATTGTTATTCTTTAGTGGCAATCTTCCCCACCTCCCAATATTTTAGTTTTTTCTTTTTCCAGTATACACTGACACCGTTTTAGAAAGTAGACCATGTAGAA